CCCCCGCCCCCCACTCCCCTCACAAAATAGCCCGCTCCGGAAGGTAGGCTGAGCACTTTCGGTTTTTGCCCCGCACCGCTGGGGGCAAGCCCGCCGGGGTGATCCAGCGCAGAAGACTGGACTCTACAGGCCTAGAAAGCTCGCCCCCACTCAACCTCCCCCCACCCCCGCCCCAACATAAATTGGGGACCCTCCCATTTCCTGGGGTTTCTGCTGCGGGAGAGTCACCAACCAGCGCAAAGGCCGGAAATGGTTTTCTTACTTGCCAATCTCTCCAGAAGAGGAGTCTGAGGGCCCACCGCCCAGCCCTTGTAGCTCCTAAGAGGTCGCCTTCTGGACAGACAAGCTTAGTGGAGAAGCAATCTTTCTGGATTTCTTTTGGATTCTTCCTTTAAATCACTTCTAAGAGCAATTCTCATCTTTGTAGAGTTTAATTCTAGGCCCTCGTCTCTGCCCTCTGAACACTTGACCATTGAAAAACTGGCGGAAAACTGACCAAAGAGAAGAGGACGATCTAGTTTGGACTCCCGAAAGTCAACCTTGAAAAACAAAAAAAGGATTATTCTTTCCCCCTCTTGTTCCATTTCTGAGAGGAGCTGCTCTGGGTGAGCCCCCAGAAGTGAATGCCCTTCGCTGGCTGCCTGCATTCCTTTCGTCATTAATGCCCGGGCATGACTGTCCAGGTTTTAAAACCCCTTCCCCCAGTCCCTTCAAGGACACCATCTTTGAGGTCTAGTAAGTAATATGTTAATAAATCTTTAGCGTTGGTGTGTGTGTAAATGCCCCGCTATTAACATCCTCACACCCAGCATGTACCTGAATAGACCCTGGCTTAAGCCAGAAGCCTGGGAGCACCTCTGGAGCTGGCCATTTGTACCCACCCCCACCACCCCAAAGTTCCTCTGACTTTGACCTTTGTTTCTGATTAAAAGACTTCTTTCCCATCTCTCAGCAAAAGATAGATCCTTTCTGGAAGTTCATGGGACCAAACATTGGGGAGACCCACAGCAGCAGCCAGGGTCCACAAAAACGTCCTCCCTCTTCCTTTGCCCATCCCAGATGCCCAAAGATGTGACAAATACAGAACACACACGTTAGGATACGAAAGAGCACCTTCACTGACAAAGCAAATAATATTGTTAATTACGTAAGCAAGTGAGGCAAGTTACTGGGGCTTCTCCAGCACAGGCTGCCACAGGGATCTGTACATGTAGAACTGAGCAAAGGGATTGTTGGATTCCAACCTTTCCCGAGAAGTGGAAGGGTCACTTGCCCTAGTCATCCTCTCCTCAGTTCAAACAAATAAAAGCGGAGCTTAAAGGGGAGCTTGCGGCCCTTCTCCCTATGGGGAAGGAGAGCTGGCCAGAGGCTCTTTGTCTAGAAGGGACCGCCATAGTAGCACTTTCCTCTTCCACTTTCCCACCACCACTGCTGCCGCAGCCACCGCTGGCAGAGGTAGGCTTCCCCCTGGGTGTTGTGGGACCTCACAAAATGGCAGTTCCTGAACGGATTTTTCACCATTGAAATTTCACACCCTCCTTTGTGTGTTTCTGACCCTTGCAAATAGAGAGCCTAAATCACTCCAGAAGGCTAGGTTCTTTCATTCAGTGCTCACATTGAAGGGGACTGGGTTGTTGTTTTGTTTTTAATGGTTTAAGGGACCTTGGGAAACCGGCTGAGTGCAGCATTTGAGGACCAAAAATTGACACTTGGGTCTGCAAAGGGTTCTCTGAAGGTTTATGCAAATTTCTGCAGCAAAAATTGTTTGCTCGCTTGTTGCCGCAATGCTCCCATGTTTAGAGACCTGAACCAATTAGAAAGGTGTCTTGTGCGCCTGTCACCAGGACCCTGACTGCAGGAAACACCAGAATGGGGGTGGGGTGTCTAGCCATTGTGAGAAAGGTGGCCTGCTGCGAGTGTGTGCGCGCCCATGATGTTATTCCCCAAGTCCTCTTCATTGGGAGGGAGATCTAGGCCCTTTCCCAGCTACAAAAGGGAACATATATGCGTACATTTGTAACTGACATGTTCTGAACATTTATGTATATGTATGCGTATATATACACACGTATAAATCCATACTCCTGAACAGATCATAGCTGCACCAGAATTTTTTCTACACGAACTAGGATTTTATGGTGGGCTGGGAGCCAGAGGCTACAATACCTTGAGCCCAGAATCCCTGGGAAATAAAGACTTTTAAACTTTCTCTCCCTTCCTTGATTTGCACACCCATCCACGTACCAGAAACCCCACCTTGCCAGTTCAGACAGACCAAAAGCCAGTCCCTTTAAAAGTAACACTTAGGGAGCATCCTTAAGTGGGGACATTTTGTTAATAGAAAGGAGTCCCCTAAATCTAGGGCAGCTGGTGTTCAGCTAGCTCTCTCCCGCGGAGGAGGCCGGTTTGTTCTGAAAGTAGGATCTGTGTACCAATCAGAGCAAGATTTCAGACAGGGCTCTGAGCAAACGTTCCCAAATCCAGCATTTGCAGCTGTCTCCTCTTGTGCAAATGTTTAAGCCTCAGACCACCTGTGACTTAAAATTGCCTTTCCTGGCTCAGGTCGGTGAAAGTTACTGCCAGATTCTTCTCTGGATGGAAACGGAGGTGCTGCTGACTGGCCAGCCACCACCATTTCCTCCCCTGTGTAGGGATAGTCAAAGAGCCTGCCATCACCATAGGAGACGCAGGCCCAGAAGTATAGGATTTTCTTTTCTTACTAGTCAATAAAAGCCTCTCTGGAAATAAATATGCTCCTCTAAAAATCAACACAGCAAGCATGGAGTTCTGCACTGCTTACCTGATAAAGGTGTTTTCTCTGGGGGTAAGGGTGGTGGAGAACTGTCAATTTAAATTCTTCCCTCTTCTCTTCCTCCCCCTCCACCCTTCACCCATAAAATAGCAGCTGCAGGAGCAGCTCGAGTGGAAAATGGATATTTTGCTAATAACAGATCCCAAACCCCAGCATCAGCACAGTCTCAGAGGCAAAAGCTCTGGTGTAACCAGGACTCTGGGCTGTCCCCCACTGACCCTATGATTCCAGCCTTTTGTGAAGTTCAAAGCTATTTTAGCAGTTCTTCATAGCAAGTAGACATAATGATAACCTATGAGAACCCCCTCTCCATATGTGGCTTTGAAGAGAAAATAAGAGAGAAAACTGGGAAAAGAGAGATAGGGGATTCAAGAATGTGTGTAGCCTTCACCTCATTCTTATCAAATAGAAACCAACAGAATAAGGCTTGGCCTTTCTGGAAGCCCAGGGGATTGTTCATAATTTGGAGAACACTGGGTGGGTGGGGGAGGGGTTTGCGGTGCTCAAAGACACTGGCTCTAGAAAGAGATTGATTTCTTTATTAAGGAGCTAGATATGTTCTGGAGCGGTTGTTTACACTCGACTTTTTCTGCCTTTGCTCTCAGGACTTGTTTCAAATTCATGAAGCCTTGGCTTTCCTGGAGGATAGCAGAGGACGTACCAACCGACATCTGAGATGCCCACAGCTAGTTGGCTCAAATGGGCTCGAGACCAGAATGCAAGGAATACAAATAATTATGATACCTACTCACCGAGCTACAGATTTCAAGTGATTACAGAGCAGTTTAAAAGACAATTGAGAAATGAGATGCGTTCTGCAAGGGAAAAGTGTTACAATTGGCTTTTCAAGTATTCATTCATTCTAGATGATTTAGCTGCCATAACTGATATGGCCTAGAGAATAATGATTGAATGTCAACTTAGACATTGTCCTGAAACTTTTGTCACAGCCCAACACATTTTCCCTGAAGCTTACGGAAGCTGGAGAGCCAGGCTAAACATTCCACTCTTCAGCTAACATGTGCTTTTCCTAATATTTGGCCCAGACATTATCCCCGAGATATTATGTTTATAAAATGCTCAAATAAATCTTTCAGGGTAAACAAAAGGCAATCAAATTCTTAATTATAAAAGCAAAAAAGAAAAACCATAAATAATACATCTTCATCAAATAATATAAAGGAAATAGTCTGCAGGCATAATTAAAAAATTAATAGACGTCTCTTAATTCACTCACCATAAGGAAAATATTTTAAATGTTCAATTGCACTTGTTTGATTAATATCAAGCATCTTGTATTCAATTATTTAGTGCTAATTATTAGGAAGTTTACGTTGTTGAGGCAAATCATCAGCTCAGACATGAACAACTACCATTATAAAAATACAGCTACATGGTCACTATCAAATGACCCATTGCATAGGACAGCTCAGGGCTGTTTTTGTGCAGTACTAGACACTTCCCACCCCACCCCAGCCCCCCATCTTTTAACTCCCAAATCGGTCTCAAAGCACAAAAACCTCAAGAGCAGGGACATGAAGGTAGCTTGAAACACAGGTAAGGTCCTTTCCAACAAAGGAGAAGAACGGGATGTCCATCAGCATGTGCTGAACTTTAGCTTTAATAGTCTGGTAAAAAAAAACGTGAAGGTGGTGGTTAATTTGTTGGGCCAGCGGCTCTGTCTTCCTCCGGTTCCTGAGCTTCCTTCTTGCTTTCCCCATCCTTTGCCTCCTGCCGGGAAACTGGAAATTTGTCCTTGTTGTTCTCCTTTTTCCATTTCATTCTTCTGTTCTGGAACCAGATTTTTACCTGCCTCTCAGTGAGGGCTAGGGCGTGAGACACCTCAATTCTTCTCTTCCTGGTCAGATACGGGTTAAAAAGGAATTCTTTTTCCAGCTCTAGAGTTTGGAAACGACTGTACGTTTGTCTTCCTCTTCTTCTACCAGGAGCTGCTGAATAAAACCAAAAAGGGGAAACAGACCGTCTTAAAAAAAAAAACACCAAACACCAAACCAAACCTGAATGATGCCACTGCAGGTCGCTGAAGGTTTCTGGAAGGGGCCTAAGGGGTGACTCACAAGGAGCTCTCTGTAGGTCTGACATACAGAGGGAGAGAGAGAATGCAGGCGAGAGGAGGAGAGAGATTCACAATTATTCTGTCCCCATCAGAGTTACACGTTTCTACTTTTTCTTCAAAGGTCAGTATTACTTTATGAATAAGCAATACATAATACTGGGGCTACTCCAGAAGGAAAAGGGCGGGTAGAGGGAGAGGAGAGGGGAGTTTTAAAGCTAGAACGTGAGATGAAAGCCGATTTCTCCCCCTCTTCCCGCTTAAAAAAAAAAAAAATTGCATCCCAACCTTGTGCTCTCATCCAGGGAAACATTTGAGAAGGAGACGAGCTCTGATTTAAGTGGTCTGGGTCCTCGCCAATATTACCACTGGACGATTTACAGTCAGGATATTGTACCAGCTCGGCCTCTTGCTGGGTCGTAAAAATCGGCTGTCTCTGTAAGTTATCGTATCCGTAAAACTTCGCGGGCTCCCCGTGACAGGCAATCCCGCCGCAGGGGGGAGGCGGCGGCGGAGGAGGGTGCGGAGGAGCGGGGGGGCCGGCCTGGTAGGCAGCGGCCGGGCTGCCCCCACCCGGGTGGAAGTAGTCCTGGCCGGGCCCGGGGCCGCCCC